ATCTGGACTTGCAAGAAGAAACGGGAGTACGTTCCAAAGCCACAAAAAGGCATCAAACACGACGAAGACTGTCCCCCCGGAATCTGGACTTGCAAGAAGAAGAGAGAGGAAAATTTCACCAAGAAACGACTTGACATGCTAAGAAAATGGATACAAGAGAAAGCGGAAAGAGAAGCAAGACAGATTATGAACGCTGCTTCRAAGAAAAGTCAACTTGGGCAAAAGAAACGCGAGTGTCCACTTGGAATATGGGTGTGTTAGTAGATGAACACGGACATAGAAATGTTATTTCTAAAAAGTGAAGATTTGAAATAGTTTTACCCTTTTAATAAGGATGTATTAGCGAGAAACAAGTATTCTGATTGCTGTAGTTGTTGTCTAACTTATTTCTATTTATATGAAGTTAAATAAACATTAAAAGCATTCTATTTAAMATATCATAAAACCACCAGAGTTATATGAAGGGCTTTTTACTTGAACGAAAAATAAAGCATTCTGAATACGATGACATTGATATACTRCGAATGGTGGTAATCACTATGAGATGGTTGGTGTCAAAAACGATAAGGATGCTCTTATCATACGAGGGAGGAAATTAAAGCAGGTCGGCTTGAAACCCATTAGAAAAGCGTTTGACATAACAAGTCGTTACKTATTTACTCCAGACAAAGAGTCAGGGCGTAGACAGGATTTCTCATTAGAGGGATTACGTYACTGACATGCAATCCATTGTCTTCCAAAAGAATCACGGTGAAATAAGACAATAATTTCTCAATAGATCAGGCTGAGTCTGAACGAATCGTCACAGTGTTTCTATGTATTTTTAAAATATATGGCCTGTAGGTCATGTGCACCTTGTGACCCCTCTCTAAATACGCYCCTACAGCACAAAGTACTTGAGACAGATGTGCCCTTGACATCGCTAACTGTTCTATAAATAGTAACTGACTCATAGATACCAGGACATGGGGCCTGGACAACTAGTGACCTTGAACTTGRGACACTAAACTGACAGCAACTAATGAAGTGATATAAAACCCACCACAACAAACACAAAAACCATAGCGTCAATATCATAAAAAAAAAGTTTGAATTGTAAGTGTTTATCATTGGGCACTAACAGTGCGAAGGTTAGTCCTGCAACACAGACTACATCTAACAATTTCAACCAATTTTGCAAGATTTTTTTTGTAAGATTGTTGAAGAAAAACATTTATTGAGGACGTACCTACCATACGTGCAAGTTAATTCGTACATTCTTCTATATTTATCTTATAAAATATGTTGATCAATATATTTTCACATTTATCTTTACTTCACCAAATATAACGTCACATGCAAATGACGTCGTTTATATAATAATGATATCACCTATCTATGACGTCATTTCTAATAAAATTAGTGACGAAATTCATACGATGCGTGACGACCTCACCCTTCCAAGCATGACGTCATATATTTAATTGTGACGTCATTCGCAATATTATGACGTTATACAATCATGACGTCATTATACAATTATGACCCTATTCGACAGAGATTATTTGTTGCTTTTCGAGCAGCAATTTTCCTTTKGAAATTAAAAGTGCTATTTTGTTCTGTTAAACGCCGTCACTTTCACTGTCACTGTAAAACTCTGCTAGATTAACTTTATCGAATCTGTAGTTTTGTTTGCTACAGCAGTTTAAGTACGATAACCAACCACGTGTTCGTCCAACCGCAAGCCCATCCTGATCAGATTTTAACAGACGATTTGACTTGTACCGTGAGTCCCTGCGATACGCCCGTATGCGTAACGCAATACTGATCAGTAAAAGAAACACAATGGGCACAGCAAGAACTGACAAAATAACCAAGGCAGGTATCATACCACCCATTACCTCCTCCTCGCTGTCTTYTGATTGGTTCTTTTTAGCTTTATGTGGCATCGTATGATTGGAACCTGAAACACGATAAAATCACATCAATTTTGGGAAGGCTTTTCCTGATTTGCCGGTAAAAGTAATCCAAGAACTAATCTTATATTATGACAAATAGAGTAGTTTTTTAAATGAAAGGGTATGTCTTCCTAAAAGATATAGAATCGGTTATTTCGCGAGTTTGAAAGTTGTATCTGTTTCAATAGACTGGCCATTAGCTTTCTTGCACAGGTGTAAGCGTTACTTCCAATACAAACATTGCATGACATTTGTGACACAATGCTGCGTGACTCACTTTTATTATAATGCGCAGCCGCATAGATATTGCTTTCGTTGCCTTCATCTTCTCCAAARGCGTTTTGCCAATCGTCAGTCTCCTTGGGTTTGGCTGTACTGACATGTACTGTAGCACTGTTATTTGCACTCTCTTTACCAGAATCAAGTCCTYTGAGATCATTTTCTTCGCTAGGACGCTCTTCGTCATCTGTTTTGGTGTTCGCTGTTATATTCTTGGAAAGATCTGTAGAGAAAAGATTGCTGTTTMTTAGTTTTATACTATCAAATAAACACCGGCCACGTCCACACGATATAATATATTCCTTAATAAGCTGGTATACAGTAATTACTTACCAGAATGYCCACACTTTGCTTCACACTCTCTTTTGGACTTGAAGTTGTTCTCGTTTCCTCTACATCCACCATAAACAAAGTGCTCACAGCTTTTTTCCTTAACACTGAAGTAATACCTCGGCATCGCCGCTCTACATGGTCCAGTATCCTTTTCAAGTGTGCAAATAGCTGAAAATCAAAATTGCCAGGAATTCAATCAATATGATTAGAATTATGTTGCTTTGGTTGGTTCGTTCAGTTTACTGAGTTTTTGTCCGCTTTGTTTCTTGGTTGGTTTGTTGATTCGTTGATAAGTTGAATGATGTAGGTAAGTCTTAGGTTAGGGTTAGTTGATTGGTTTACAGTCAACTCTCGCTATTACGGACACCCAGTAGCAAGAGTTCGTACTAACGGGAGTTACTTTCAGTCATTTCTTTGTAYTTTTTGCCGGGGATTCAGCATCTTACTGTCCGTACTAGCGAGGTGTCCGTAAGGCGAGAGTTGAGAGTTGACACTATTTAGCTGGTTAGTCCTACGTAGGTACTATTTGTCTGTAATAAGAAGACAATCCTGTTAAGTACCTGGAAAGTTCATAGTATCATCTTTGTGTTTATTCGACTTGTGTTTAGTAAGTTTCCAGATTYTATTCGGACCTATCTCCACGACGTATAGATCGTCGTCATCAGCAGACGATGTGACGTCATGAGGGTTAAGGAAATGCTGTGGAAATAAAACATATTGTAATACGTAGTTGCGTAATRACATCATAAATACATCTATGTGAATACTCCCCCATTTCTCTTATAATGCAATATTAACTTTATTGTTTTTTGCAGGAGTTTGTTTAGTCTCCTTGCAACCGTTTTTCGTATCGGGTTTCCTGTTCCACTAAAGTAACCTGACAGCAGGGAACCCAAACAGAAAATAGCGACAAGTAAACTAAAATGAAGACAACAGCGACTAACAACAGTAACTAAGAATATATACAAGACTCACGTGGTCATCCTTTGGCCATGTTTCTACAAGATGGTTTCCCTGTAGAGTAAAACCCTTCTTTGGTTTTTTGGTGTTGCTAGGGTTACCATTGAYGACATGAAGGTGACCTGCGTGTAAATTGTACCTTAAATCAACGACCTTGTAAAAAGACGTGAATCATTGACAGTTCTCACCAGTATGACTGTTAAAATCCACAGCAAACACATAACCAAACTGTTGTTTCTTGATAACAGGCAAAAAGACGCCTCTTGTAGTAGAAAGGATCTGTACACGTCCATTTTGTCTGTCTGCTATGTACAGATGATGCTTGGACTCGTCAAGRGAGAGACTGTGTGGTAAGATAAACTCTCCTAAAAACAGTAATATGGAGTTATAAATCTACAGCACTAGAGATAACAAAGAATGTGATGCTACCAGCATGAATAATCATTAAATAATAAAATATATTTACCTTTTTTCCGTCCATACTTCCCCCATTCATCAATATAYTTTCCTTTTGATGAAAACTTGACAATACGGTTGTTGCAGTACCTGAAACACAGTACACACRTCAAYCAMATGGTTATTAACCAATCCATGCATGATTAGTCAACCCAAAAATGTCAWTTTTTTTGGTCAGCTATACACCTTATATWGACAAWAAACTTGCTGCTGTTTTGGACATTGGTCATCATTTATCATCATTATAATACATATATATGATATAGTTGACTAACGATGGCTTAATMTAAGAAACTGACTATCTTACCCATCAGCCACATAGAAACTTCCACTTCTCTCAACAGCAACATCGGCGGGTTTACAGAAGTGACTGTCATCAGAATCTGGATAAAACTTTTCTCCGACAGTAAGGAGAGCTTTGCTCCCACCATTGGATGGGAACTTGTAGACCTGTAATGCAATATTGTTACATGTAAGTAAAAAACCTACTGAAGGTGATSTGTTGTAAAAATGTATTTGGAACGTAATTTTATTAAAATGATGAACTGTTAATGTCAGTCAATGAATCAACYAATTATAGTCAATCTCACCTGGTGCGTTGCAACGTCTGTTAACCATATGTTGTCATGGTGATCAACAGTAATCCCATGAGGAAGGTAAAACCTTTAAATATTGCAATGAAAATGCATCGAATGAACAAGGAAACAAAGCAAAAACTGCTCAAAAAATAACCAAATGAGCCAAAAACATTTACATGTACAGGACTCACATATTTCTGCCCCATCTTCCAAGGATTTTCCCAGTCTGTGCATCTAGTGTAAGCACTGTGTTATCATCAATGGGTGTTTTCTCAGTAAATACATCCAGGTCATCAAAAGAACTAACACAGCAACAAAACTGAATATCAATAACTGATAACTTATAATGTGGAATAGATAACAAAGAGGCATTTGTACATATATATTGTAAAGAAGGACAGAATGACAGTCACTAGAAACTGAAGAAAATGTGTTGTTGTTTTAAATAGCAGGTCAAATGCGCAACAGATAAGTACAGCTAACTGGAATGGTTGTCCAGGAGCTGACCTCAGTGTTCTATAATTATAGTCTCCTTCACGGTTACCTGCGCCATCTTGAAAGGTAGCCGTGCMTTGTCATCGAAGCGAGACAACCGTTGAGCTTGCAATGATAGAAACCTCTTTTCACACCTATAGGCAATTATTCACAGGTATCTATCATTGCACGCTCAACGGTCGTCTCGCTTCAATGCAAAGGCACGGCTACCTTTCCGTGAAGGAGACTATTGTGTATTAAATTACTTATTTGCTTTTGATAAGGTAGAGTATGTCTAAGGATTTGCATTCTTTAATGAATTATGAACAGAGGTATTGCATCAACAGATTAACACAGTTACAGCTTTGCTAATATCTTAAATGCTCACTAAGTTGTACTTATAACAACCAAAGTCACTTACTTATAGTCCCAGATTCTTTTTCCACGATGAAATACAATTACACGTCCTTTTGAGTTAACAGCAACTCCTGCAACTTGACCAAGATGTTCTTTATCAAGTTTAGGCCAGCCTTTTACAATATTATATTCATCTTTTAATGAAGAAACTTTGTGATGCATTGAAGGAGGTGATGGTTTCTTGTAGACTTTGTGAGGATGTATGACAGGGTTTTGTCTTGGTGTCATAATTGAGGGTTTTGTGTCATATGTGGATGTCTTTTGGACTGTTGCTGTCATCTTGTTAGTGGGAACTTTCATGGGCTGTGTACCAGTTGTAATTYTGTGWGTATTTGATGTTATTTTACGTGTTGGTTTTCTCAATGSAGTGTCAGAATCAGCGGGGAAGTTSAGTGATGCTTGGTATGAAAGCTGATCATCACATGCAGCATCAGTAACATCAGGCTCATTTGCATCTCGATAATACATGATGTAAAAATTGCACATCTCATCATCACCAGTAGCCCTGGAAATCACAACAAACTCATCAGTGATCTTACTCAATATCAAGACAATCTTCTTATACAGGATAAACGTTATTGGAACTTGACTGCTGACTGCAATTTTTCTGTACACACTCTCTCTATTTTTCTATCTTTTTTCAATGCATTATAGTAAACAATACAGATAGAGTAAACAATAAAGATATACATATAAACTTTACACAAAAAGACAAAGCCAAACAAGCAATCTTACAAAGAAACAAGTCTTGTACTGTAGATAAATCAAAAGCATGCTCACCCAATATAGACGTGATCCTTGAGATGGTGGCCTTTACTATCATAAGTGCATCTTGCAGCCTGAAGCAAAAGACATTATTATTTGTAAAAAATACAAATGTATTCAAGTACAATAATCTAATTGTACATTATGCTCACCAAAGTGTCTCCTTTAGAGATTTTATAAATTCCTTTCATTGGATAAAAGGCCTAGAATCAAAGACAAACATAAATTTAAATATACATTATAAAGGACAAAACAGTATTATAATGCCTTATATGATGTGATTTGGGGTAAAAGCAATTCATAGGAGTCAGTCCCTCATTGCAAATTCATTATAATATACAAAGGATGTCTTCCCTTTGAGACCAATTTTACAAAGTTATATTTGCGTAAGCACTTTATCAGTTGATAAGCAACTGTAAATGATCAAGCAGCTTCACCTGTGGCTCATTTGGATCTCCTTTACCAAGTAAAGTCCAGTTGTTTTTATTAACTTTATACCCACTTATAACTCTCCCTGTAAAAGAATATCCTTACTGTAACTAAAATATAATTAGATCACATTTATGCATTWTAACTGCTTGATATAGTGCTGCATGCTTACAAATGCTACAGTTAAAACAAATAACTTAAACTTTCTTACAAGAACACTGTTACTCAAGGTTAAATGTTTGCAAAGAAATTCTCATTCACAGACAAGAAATGCAAAAGACAAGGTCATCTCTGAAACATCTGCGCTTCATATGAACCATCACAAATTGTTAAGGCATATTGATTGATTCATTGATTCATTGAATGATTGATTGATTGTCTGATTGATTGACTTATTGATGGATTGATTGATTGCATACTTTACCTAGTCCATGAGCATGTGTTCTGAATGCAAATGCATACATTGTAGTTCGGTCTTTATATTTGCAAACAATATCACTGTGAATTCCTGAAAACAATCATGTTAATTGGTCTTAGTCAACAAGCTATTAAACATTGCAATATTTTGCACTTAACATTTTTAAAAAAAGCTGTATGCAAGACAGTAGTATGATCATAGGAATTGTCTCTTACCATTGGTTTCTGGTGGGATATCAACATCACCTGACCACATCAAGAATATTCCTGCTAAATATGGCTGCCTGTCAACAAAACAATGACCGACATTACATACAGCACAACAGCCCATGTACAACGGTTTATAATTTTACAAATGTTTTAACTGTTTGATTGGTGAGAAGAATCAAATAAGACGGCAAGCATTGAGAGGAGAAGTTAAGAGCATGTTCAATCAGACAAACATGATGAAACATAAGTATACCTTTGAGGTGTGATGTGCAACACAAATCCAGAATCATTGTCATTTAAATCTAGAGCCAAAAACAGAAATATTACATTGCACTGAGAATAACAATTGTTTCGTATTATATATATCTTTCAAATCACTATTGCTAGTCATATTTTATCAAGTAGTTATCCACCAGTCATTCATACCTATTGCTTTGTGCTTGTAATGAACTTGTAAAACAAGGTAATTAATGCCAGATGACCTCCCAACTTGAAAACCAACATCTAAAGACAAAAYGATCTTCATAYACTTATCAAGAAAACAAGTAAAGACACAGAATGTGTCCTTGTGCACATCCTAGCCTTCTCTGAAGACACCACAGAGAATCATGGGCTTCCTGTCTTTCTGGGAGTTAAAAGAGTCACTAGTCCTTAGTGGCCAAGATCACCATTGCAAAGGAAGCCCAAAGAAGGAAAAAAGAGATGCCTTGGGATGAAACTATACACATTGTGTTTACCATAATACCCTGRCAATCATTGTACATGTATATGATTCTAACCTTTTGGTAAAGCTTTATCTGARGCTCCATTAGCCCAGGCAAATAWTATGTTTTCTATATTTTGACAAGTACCACCATTACCACAATCCCTGGAAACACAACATTAAAACCAACTTAAAAAAGTGAACTATAAACTAGCACTAAGAGGCCCAACCACTGCTTTTAGAAGGAATACATCAAAAGGACCTTTGACAAAAAAATAGGCTGTGGTTAATTTTCAGACAGCAAAAAAAAATTAGTAACATGCTGTGCTTACTAAAATGCAACATGACACTTATAACTAAGATGAGAAAAACTAACTGACAACCCTCTTTACTATAGAGAATCTGTATACCCACCAATTGGAACTCCAACTTGCTGGCTTGTCACAGCCAAAWAGAAGCATATGATGTGCAACATTTTTGTCACCTTTTGGTTCAAATTGAACTGAAAATAAACAATGAAACCGTGACTATGGCCCTTAATATCAAAGAATATCTCTTTTCCCCTCCCAACCCCTAAAAAGAAAACATAGCAGTCATTAAAATTGCATGTATATACAGCAGATGCAACAGGTCACATCCTATATTATATCTAAAATTTGTATCCACCAACTAAAAGTGAGCAAATTAGAAAAAAAATAACTATTTTTCTTGGCATTTTTGACTATTTTCGTATAATTTGATATGGCGATATACCATAGTTTACAGTAGAAGCCAAATCACAATTCTAGATTTGCGATAATGCACAGTTTGGTGGATATATGCATAGTTAATCGGGGGAATACGTTATACTCTTACCAATGTACTGGTCGTTTGATGCCAACTTCACAGATGTACACAAGTACGCATTATCCTACAATATAGTAATCAAGAATGATTTTCATTTGACTAACAGCTGGGTTACAATGCAAAATAAGCATAAGCTAAAAAATAAGAGATTTTGGGGTTAAAATGGATGAGCAAGACAAAAAGGCGTTTATTTATTTATTCTTTTGTCTTTATTATCTTTACATCAACTGCTATGCTTATTTGATGCACACTTGATGCCATTCCTTTGTTTTTTCTTTTGTTCTCGGCCTCTGTGGCCCTAATACATTCAGTCCGGCAGACCCCCTTAGAAATATCACTAATGGTGTCGAACTTCTCATTGTCTGTAAGTGAGACTAGACTGCTTTCACACTATAAATTAGCAATCCCATCTCAATAAAATAGTGAAACATCAAGCAGTAACAACATGATTTTCAGCTCTTCCTGTAATATCCATAAATCGTTATAACTGTGGTCCCTTCACAAGTTTGTAGAAAACGTTTCAATGTTAAATAAACAAAATAAATACTCCAGTTTTTTATATCAAAATTCAATAATTCRACAAAATGAATTGGTATATGTGGTATATATTTATGGGAGCAATTCCAATGTCTCAGCTCCTTGTGTTTTCACCTTGATAAAGTGATCATTGATCACAATATTTCAAACACAAAATAGAGTTTGATTGTAGATGACATCTGTAAACCGATTTCATTTCATACGTTGTARATACACCTGATTGAGCACAAAATTTAAAACATTTTATGTCATGCTACAACGACCATAAATTTTCCCTCTACATCAMGAAAATATRCTATGTATTAAAATAAGTATGTCGATCAGCMAAACTTGCGAAAGTCTATGGTGAAGTTTCGCTATTATCAGCTAAAGAAGTAATCTTGTAGTTTTAAAATATTGATAGATGTGTAAAACACAGCTGTTCCAGACGTCCAAGACATTTGCATACAAAAAACGATTATTACAAGAAATGACTTTAAAAGTGAATACAACGTTCAATCTTAGTTCATAAGKTAAGTTATGTATGAAGATCTAATGAAGTCAACTTTTCAAAAATGACAGTTCTGGCATGGCTTCCTGAATGACTCACAATAAACATGTGTATAGCCTAATAATCGACTGTTAACGAGAAGAATTTGGGTTTTAGAGTTGAATATTGACAATTCAACACGACAAAGAAATATTACTTTACCTTCAAAGGACTTGCACCAGGCATTCTGATACTTAATGTACTTGTATTTGAGTGACTACGAATTCCACTGGCTAACAGCAAGATCACCGCGAGACTCCATGGAGTATAGTCCCACAACTTCAGCATAATTATACAGAATTATCGTGAAAAATGGCAATAAATTATGTTTATGAATACACCATCTTGTAATGAATGTCTTCTTTGTCTTTTTTGAACGTTCCAAAACAGCGAAACGCTCAAAATATTGATTGAAGTGTTGTTGATCAACTGTTTCTAACACTCTTGAGATGTATTGGTATGGGAAGTTATAAGGCGATTTTTGATTGGCTAGTTGGTGACTAGACCCAATCTCCCTTGGCTGACAGAAAGAAATGAACGCATGAAAAACCTGAATTAATGAAAAACCTTTTAAAAAATAGGCAGTCGAGGACTGCATGTGACTCAGGTAATTAAGAGTAACTTTGAACACAATATTTCAGTTTACAAAGTTTTCTGAATTATCTGTATACGCTGCAAGGAAATGGAACTTGGCCTATAAATACACAATAGCCAGCGATTCCCAGGGGCCAAAGCGGGGGCCTGACGCAGGACGCCCTGTCCCTGCCCTGTCCCTGCCTACAGTAATATCCGTCTGAGAGATTTGGAAAAGGAATTTTTATCACGACATGGATTCATTAGAGCTTTAATTTAGCTGGAGTCAAAGACATCTTTCTGTATTTGTTGACTCTAAACTTACGATCAAAWTCTCGAACGTTTTCTTTGATAAAATGTTTATATCATTCAAATTGTATTTTTACTATAATTCGCCTGATTTTATAGTTTTGCAATGATACCCAAAGATTTAAAGTTAAGTTTTTTACCATTCTTTGTTGTTTATACCGACTACTTCATCCTCACCAATTGTTAACATTCACTATACTGTATTTACATTATAATCATTTGATAATTAATATTAACCCATTTGTAAACTTTAATATATCATAAAGAATGAAAATATGGAACGTTAGAGCGTATGTTGGAGTTTCAGAGATCTTAATAAAATGCTCCGTTGAATCCCGGCAAATCTCGGGCAACAGCTAGTACATGTATCTATCATGTATCTGAGGCTGCGTGGTCTGTTTTAAAAAACACTTACGTCACAATACAGCGAGCACATCGGTATTCGGCCGCAAACCAGCACTCCGCACCCACCCACCCCCCGTAAAATAATAAATGCACTGAAGAATGATTATGCAAACCCTGTATCGTTAATTATCGAACTGAGCTCTGATTGGCTCGCTGCTCCTTAAGGATTTTGGTGACGTCATATATTAGCATAGAACTTCACCGAATAGACTACCCCAATTAGATATTAGATATCTACAAGTGTCTTCATAGTACGATGGTCTAAGAGGGTAGCTAAAGGTATGCTCTAGTGGGCGGCTACCCCCTCACTCCCTGGCCTTTTGGTTAAGACTAAGTTTTATGTTCACTCGGGATAGCGTGGAAGGGCCGAAATCTCTAACCGTAACGTAAGCCGATTCGCCGCCTCAGCTTCATAGAATGTCTCGGGGGAATCGTCCCATCTTTTTAGTTTTTTTATTTTCATTATATCTTATGTATTCCGGGGGGGGTACGTCTTTACCTGAAGTGAAAGTCCTGAGTTCGAATCCTGCTGCTGGAATTTCTCTTTTGTGTGTGTGTAATGTTTCTTTTTCTTTTGTTTCCTGTTTTTTTCTTCATTCTTTTTTTCTKATTTCTTTGCTGTTGTTTTTGTTTTTTCTCTATCGGATTTTTTTTTTCAACTTCGACATTTTAAGGACTCGCAAGGAACGCCTGCTACAAGTGGATGGTTACGGTTTGGTCACTCAAACACGATGATATAGTCCTCACTCACAAAAATTGTCAAATCGTGATGTCAGTCTACTGAATACGTGGTAAATAAAGCAACTTATTTGAATCAATTAATGAAATCAAAATATAAAAAAATATTGTAAAACATATTTTTWATGCTTTTCAGTTCTATTAATTTCCATATCAACTTGCAGTGATAGACCACTTGACAATTTCACCGAATTAGASTATACTCCAATTAGACATTATGCTTTCGCCGGATATTTCTTGTAATTTTATTAAACCAGAGCAAATATTTTCCATTCAAACAAATCTCAGTGTCTCACGGATATTTTGATTATACTTTTACGTATTTTGTGATGGCTGCTTATGCAAAGATCCGAGTCTAAGTGACCCATTTCAAACGTCGATCTTTTGCCGCGTCTAATCTAATTGCTTACATACAGTTCTCGAGAAGTTTGCAGTCTATATCGATTGATATATTACAGATTAACAGTACGTATGTCCAACTGAACAAAATCTACCAATGTCAATATAGTAAATTCAGAATACGAAATTCTCGTAAACTCAACTCCACCATTAGATTTGACTCGACCAGAAAGATCGACGTCTGAAACGTACCTAAGACACCTTATTTCAATAGTGATTAATGTAAAACACATCGTAAACTCTAAAAGTAAAACATTATTAAAGAGTTTTATTACAATTTACAATTGTATACTAGTAATGTTTTCTTCGCTAGAAATACTGTAAGTCGARCGCAAAAGATGTATGACGTTCAGTATTTTACATTTGTTTGTATTGCTCTAGATATCTATTTACTCATATCTTGTTTTTATTCTAGGAGAGTATGTAAATAGACAAATAATGAAAAGTAAAGGATACAGGCACAGGAAGTATACATAACTTTCCATATCAAAGAGTCAATAAAGGTCAAGARCATTACCCGTGTAGACATCAACACATTTTATTGTTTTTGAAGAAATRAATCGAATTTATACCATCCTGCAAGGTAACAAAGTTGGAAAATACAAATATTATGATTTCATTGTATTTTTGTCGGCAGTTTAATACCCGAGRCATACAATTCGCGCACAAGTCRGTGTTTAGTRTAARTATCAGTGGATTCAGACAGAGATTATTACTAAGATGYAGTCATTCATGCCCGGAGGAAACGCACGCAAGAATATGACTCTTAAAGTRATTTTATTACTCAAGGCGTTTAAATATATTGATATGCGCAAKTTACTATGATCTAGCCTGAGTTCATCCAGCGTTTACCGTAAACCGGATGGACGCAAGCTACTATGATCAGACTTCAACCTGGTTTTTACTGGTTTTTACTAGGACATAAACATAGGCTTTTTGTTTGAACCAATGGGATGGGTGGATTATACAATACACAATTAGCACCTTCTTGCATTCCTTTGCCGTTTGCTTCTATAGTTCTTACTTGGGCCATTACTTAAGCTGAAGCAAAGAGATGACAAAGTTAAGTGTGCGGCAAAAGACCTCGACATAAGCATAGCAATAAGCATAAGAATAAGCTAATTAAAGACAAAAGAATACAATCACCATCTTGATCTCTTCTTAATCCTTGCTATCCCCAAAAGCTATAGCTTAGTGAAAGCCAGGCATCATTCAAAAAATATAAAAGTGTCGTTTAATATAGTCGATAATTAGCCGAATAATTGCTAATTAATCGTGATTTAATGGTATATTAAAACAATCATTAGAGCACGGTATTCACACAAAAAACATACGTTAAGAATGCCAAGAATTTTACTTGATATTACTGCAAAATATTGTTCTTTGTTACAATCAGGAAAATAAGCGATATCGGAAGCCAAATCACGATTTGAATGTAGCCAAAAAAGGTCGGTTTACTTTGATGTTCAATTTATTATGATTCGCCTCACCTAAACTGATCTTATTTATGATTATTCCTATTCGCCCTTTTCACTCGATGAACTCTAAAGATARCAGTAGAGACGGCCCAATTGTATTGAAACGTTTATAGAACGTGGTGTAAGATAAGTGACAAACACGTTTTTCCATAGTCGCGCGCGTATAATCCATCGTCACACCATTTGGAATTGAAAACAAAGTCTGAACTTTGATGGTGTACTAGCTTTTTAAGATTAAGGTATATATGTGGTTTAGATGTTTTTTAATTGCTCCACCCCCAACATATTGCTCACACGCAGCTRGGATCGGATAGAATGAACTCCATTGATTGTTACATTATGCTAGAGAAGAGATTTTATATCACAAAAACCATTTACCAAAATACGTGCTAAACAGCATATCCTTGCTTACAACGGCGTCTGTGGTAATGGTGTTTTAATTGCCATGCAAGTTTTATGACCACTTATATGATTAATAAGCATGACACGAATCGCCTCAAAACATTACAAAGGGCCGGTATCATGCAAACTTGAACTCGTAAGCAAATTCTTAAAATCTGAATAGTATAAAACCGGTCAAGGTAAATAATTAAGGATCAAAACTAAAATTTGCATCTATGGACTGAATCAATGAATTTTGCTTTGTGYTTTTTTTTTAGTTGGGCGTGACATGAATGTGAAATGAGCTTCCGTGAACATCAACGAGTACTGTAGATACTGCGGATTATAATTAAAATATTGATATTAATTGTATAARAAGACTTAATTCTTTCTAGCTAGTTGCAGATGCTCCACAAAAACGTGCAGTTCGACATTCATTATTTCTTCAAAGATACAAATCATTTAGCGAAAATGTCTGGACTTTGCCTAATGGATTTTCCACTTGTTCAAACCATAACTTAATGATCTAACCATCTGGGATATGACGCTTCTAAATTACTATCTAATTCTGCGCTCATCAACAGATATTTTACCTTTAAACCTTGTGRGGTCCCAATAGACTGTAAGTCTGAAAATGCGCAGAAATTGAACGAGGCTTTTGTTCTAAAACATCGATTTTGTTAGATAGTCTGATTCCGATAACAAGTTTCCTTTGCGTTAGGGTCAAACTTGAACAGACCTTACTCATGTATATAAACACACTGGAAGGTTTGCTCAGCTAGAACGACGCAGAGGCCGCGCATCGCGCCGTTAGAAGCAAGGTATGTTTTCTTAGCAGAAGCTTGTTAGGTTACCCAAAATCATACGATTTCTCAACGTTTACGTGAATRTCACATTAGCCTAGAACTGATTCAATGTGAATTTTATTTTTTACTATTCTTGATAACTGAGAATTTTTAGATTCTCTCTATTCAGCATTTGTTAAAATAGCGTGAGCTTTTACCTATGAAAAGACGGCCTTCCTCTTAAAACACGGCACCCTCAACTACTGAAAGATACGATTATTTTGAAAGTATATTTCAAGAAGTTACAATTCAGCCAAAAACAACGGCACGGAGCAATGCCGCGGAAATGACCCACGGTAGTACTGACAGTCATTGATGACTTTCAGGATGTTACGTATAACGTAGTGGGAATTACAGAAATGTGAGTTTTGTTTCAGTACTGGTACTCGAAGGCATCATTCTAGTGCAAGATGACAGAAGCAGAACAGARTTACCAAGTCTCGATGTCCGAATCAGAACCGGTTGAGCAGTTTGAAGTTGTACATGGTGATAATGATCGGTTATTGTGGGGATGGTTGGGSTTTAGACCGCGTTTTCTGCAAGGTCTTTCATCACCAAGATGGTTTCTCTTCTTCATCAGTATCTTCAGCCTCGCGCAAGGTAAAGTTTACTRAAGTGTGCAATTATAAACGATAGCTAGAACAGTAGAACGTTGTCTACCTTGCTTTACTTAGCTTTTTTTTCTGGGTCATGTTCAAGTCGATTCTTGAGATGTTCAATTTGAGTTTGTAGAAGGTGTTGTTTATCTAAATGAGGGTATACTTTAGCCCACTAAAAGGAAGGTCAAGGTTCCACTTGAAATTAAATCAAATATCGCATCCCGTGTCTAGCTCAGTTTGCCATAGTCTTCATTAGAATTACCATCTAAAAGGAAAAAGAAAACAAAGCACGGGTTCGTAAAAGAGCAAAGAATTTAGGCAACAAACCTTTCCTTTTGAAGTATGATGAAATTTGGTTTCAGCAGCTATAAGATACCAAACCGCAGGTCTTAACCCACTCGAGATGAAAATCATGCACTTACCTAATACACCTACTTTAGTGTAATGACTTAAATCACGTTAAAACATTTGTAGTAACTCATTTTTTTAGGAATGGCGGTCAATTCATTTGTCAGTGTTGCCATACCAACACTAGAGAAACAATTCCACTTCAGCAGTCTTCAAACTGGTGTTATAGTCTCAGCCAATGACATTACAGCATTGCTGCTTGTTTGTTTTGTCAGTTTCCATGGCGACTATGGACACAAGACCAAGTGGTTGGGTGCTGGTGCTTTACTCACTGGTTTAGGTTGTTTGGTATTCTCCCTTCCCTACTTCATTATCGGAAAAACTGACATTTCAAGTAAGAAAGCGAGTTCCTTTTTTCAAAGTCTTACGATGCTTATGCATGAGAGGGAGCCCAAAATGTAGAATTTGTTATTAAGTCTGGGTGTGGTCGAAAAGGGGAATCAATGTAAATCCTGCGTGAAAGTAGTCCTCATCTATCTAGCAATGGGCGCGTGCATAGCAGATATAAAGGCACGTTATACCGACCAGCTTTTCTGGGAACAACTTCTACTGACCCCCGACAACAAATATTCACAAATTTGACCTCMATATTTGGTGTTTGCGTTTAATTTCTTTTATCACAAGACCAATTSAAATGTCTTAAATTGTGGCATGTGAAACATGATAGATTGAAGTCTAATGAGCGGTGAATGATTGAAGCAAAAAACAATGTGACCTCCATTTCCATTTAGTAATAATGCCGGGACGAGCGATTTAAAATGTTACACTACGTTTTGCTCGATCGAGGRCACTTTATTGTTATTATTGATCTGTACACTGTATTCAAGATTTAATATAATAGGTCTTCCGTTCCTTTCATAGCACAAAGCCACAAGTCTTATGGATTGTGTTTGCTAAACACCACAAAGACAAACTCAGAGTTTAGTTGTCAAAAAGAAGAATCATCTTCAGGGATATACTTTTTCATTTTCATACTTTCACAATTGTTATCTGGTGCTGGTACCACGCCCTTGCATACAGTAGGTACCGCGTACCTGGACGAGAACGCCCATCCTAAGTACACTGCAATCTATATTGGTTTATTTTACTCGACTGTTATGCTGGGACCTGGCCTTGGGAATATGATAGGAGGAAATCTCTTGAGTATTTTTGTGGACATCAAATTGGTAAGTAATGAAATTACTTTGGTCTTGGTCTTATGCATTACCCATTCATTGACTCTAATACTAGTGAATATGGTTAMTATAGCTCCGTAGAAAAACAATACTCAGTTGTTGCTTTGCACTTAAAGCCATCAAATGTAAAGATATCCAAAACTAACCCAGCCTGGATAGGTGCTTGGTGGCTTGGTCCTCTAGTTTGTGGTGTCATTCTGCTCCTCGTAGGCCTCGTATTGCTCGGTTTTCCAAGAGCTCTACCGAAATCTGAAAAGAGACGCAAAATGGCAATCGCAGAAGGAATTCTTAAGGAGAGACAGCAACTTTCTGGAAGGATGAGAGATATATTGCCTGTGACTAAATCGTTGTTGACAAATGGAACTTTTATGTTTCAAAACCTGGCGTTAACACTGAGGTTTGACTTANTCACCAAGATGGTTTCTCTTCTTCATCAGTATCTTCAGCCTCGCGCAAGGTAAAGTTTACTAAAGTGTGCAATTATAAACGATAGCTAGAACAGTAGAACGTTGTCTACCTTGCTTTACTTAGCTTTCTGGGTCATGTTCAAGTCGATTCTTGAGATGTTCAATTTGAGTTTGTAGAAGGTGTTGTTTATCTAAATGAGGGTATACTTTAGCCCACTAAAAGGAAGGTCAAGGTTCCACTTGAAATTAAATCAAATATCGCATCCCGTGTCTAGCTCAGTTTGCCATAGTCTTCATTAGAATTACCATCTAAAAGGAAAAAGAAAACAAAGCACGGGTTCGTAAAAGAGCAAAGAATTTAGGCAACAAACCTTTCCTTTTGAAGTATGATGAAATTTGGTTTCAGCAGCTATAAAAACCAAACCGCAGGTCTTAACCCACTCGAGATGAAAATCATGCACTTACCTAATACACCTACCTTAGTGTAATGACTTAAATCACGTTAAAACATTTGTAGTAACTCATTTTTTTAGGAATGGCGGTCAATTCATTTGTCAGTGTTGCCATACCAACACTAGAGAAACAATTCCACTTCAGCAGTCTTCAAACTGGTGTTATAGTCTCAGCCAATGACATTACAGCATTGCTGCTTGTTTGTTTTGTCAGTTTCCATGGCGACTATGGACACAAGACCAAGTGGTTGGGTGCTGGTGCTTTACTCACTGGTTTAGGTTGTTTGGTATTCTCCCTTCCCTACTTCATTATCGGAAAAACTGACATTTCAAGTAAGAAAGCGAGTTCCTTTTTTCAAAGTCTTACGATGCTTATGCATGAGAGGGAGCCCAAAATGTAGAATTTGTTATTAAGTCTGGGTGTGGTCGAAAAGGGGAATCAATGTAAATCCTGCGTGAAAGTAGTCCTCATCTATCTAGCAATGGGCGCGTGCATAGCAGATATAAAGGCACGTTATACCGACCAGCTTTTCTGGGAACAACTTCTACTGACCCCCGACAACAAATATTCACAAATTTGACCTCCATATTTGGTGTTTGCGTTTAATTTCTTTTATCACAAGACCAATTGAAATGTCTTAAATTGTGGCATGTGAAACATGATAGATTGAAGTCTAATGAGCGGTGAATGATTGCAGCAAAAAACAATGTGACCTCCATTACCATTTAGTAATAATACGAGCGATTTAAAATGTTACACTACGTTTTGCTCGATCGAGGACACTTTATTGTTATTATTGATCTGTACACTGTATTCAAGATTTAATAAAATAGGTCTCCCGTTCCTTTCATAGCACAAAGCCACAAGTCTTATGGATTGTGTTTGCTAAACACCACAAAGACAAACTCAGAGTTTAGTTGTGAAAAAGAAGAATCATCTTCAGGGATATACTTTTTCATTTTCATACTTTCACAATTGTTATCTGGTGCTGGTACCACGCCCTTGCATACAGTAGGTACCGCGTACCTGGACGAGAACGCCCATCCTAAGTACACTGCAATCTATATTGGTTTATTTTACTCGACTGTTATGCTGGGACCTGGCCTTGGGAATATGATAGGAGGAAATCTCTTGAGTATTTTTGTGGACATCAAATTGGTAAGTAATGAAATTACTTTGGTCTTGGTCTTATGCATTACCCATTCATTGACTCTAATACTAGTGAATATGGTTAATATAGCTCCGTAGAAAAACAATACTCAGTTGTTGCTTTGCACTTAAAGCCATCAAATGTAAAGATATCCAAAACTAACCCAGCCTGGATAGGTGCTTGGTGGCTTGGTCCTCTAGTTTGTGGTGTCATTCTGCTCCTCGTAGGCCTCGTATTGCTCGGTTTTCCAAGAGCTCTACCGAAATCTGAAAAGAGACGCAAAATGGCAATCGCAGAAGGAATTCTTAAGGAGAGACAGCAACTTTCTGGAAGGATGAGAGATATATTGCCTGTGACTAAATCGTTGTTGACAAATGGAACTTTTATGTTTCAAAACCTGGCGTTAACACTGAGGTTTGACTTATATTGTTCTATACTAATTATTTGAGGGTATCGTATGTGTGCACTATTTTTGCTAAAACGCTTTTGCTGTCGCCGTTATTCCTTTAATACAATGCGATTTTTCATGATTCTCAAGTGCTCCGTTTTTATTTCCATTTCTCGGTTTGTTTGGTAGAGTARTTGTTTATCTTGTTTTCTTTTTAGCGCTCTAGTTGCTGCTGGTCTTGCTCCGTTTTTATTTCCATTTCTCGGTTTGTTTGGTAGAGTAGTTGTTTATCTTATGTTTTCTTTTTAGCGCTCTAGTTGCTGCTGGTCTTGCTCCGTTTTTATTTCCATTTCTCGGTTTGTTTGGTAGTGTAGTTGTTTATCTTGTTTTCTTTTTAGCGCTCTAGTTGCTGCTGGTCTTGGTCCGTTTTTATTTAAGATCATTCGTATACGATATGGTGGTTCTACATCTATCATTGGTATTGCTGTAGGCTTGATCTTGATACCCGGTGCTGGAGGTGGAATAACATTAGGTATTTTCACTTGCATGATTTGTGACGTCATGCCGTCAATGTGTGACGTCAATGTGTGACGTCAATGCCGTCAATGTGTGACGTCAATGTTACAATGGCCGTTGCCAAATGAAAACTGAATGACAGTCCGCTTTCACTATTAATTTTTTCATTTCATTTGTAAGGTTCGCTAATCGTGAAGCTWCTTGGTCTCAAAGAATCTTGTAAGAAGTCAGCCAAAGTAGCCTTCATTTTACAACTTATTGGAATCTGGACTGCACTGATCTTCCTGATCCCTGGATGTGAGAACTCACTTTATGCTGGTGTGGATAAACCTTACATCAATAGGTAAACCTACTCTKAGTTTTAGTAACAGGCTTTKCTGAATTKGTAWKCAGTATTTCGCATCACTTCATGTCAAATTATCTTTTGTCTGCAGCACTGATATAGGTCTTGTCAATGAATGTAATCGTCCATGTAACTGCTCCCTGTCGAATTACAGACCAATTTGTGGACCAAACAATATCAATTTCTATTCACCGTGCTTTGCTGGATGTACGACGGGATTTACAAATAAGGTGAGGGTTGATATGGCTCTAATGTTGKTAAAACTAAYAKAAAATTCGATTGATAGTCCAAAACKCATTTGKTAAATGTTGGTTAGAAACGCTAGATAGTGACTAGGGAAGGTTATTGCGGAATGTTCAAGGAAATGATATCAGTTGATGATGATGATGATAGTGATGATGATGATTGYCAATGCATGATAACGGTGCAATTTCTACAGACATACAGTAGATGTGCGTGCCTTTCCTCTTCGACCTCACCACTGAAGGCTGGTATCTGTGACAGAAAGTGCAAGAATCTTGCTGCATTTATCTTTGGTGCGGTAGTGTTAAGCATATTCAGTTTTTCCAATGCTATTCCATCCAAGATGGTTACTTTAAGGTAAGATTTATTAGAACTATTCATTGATAGTCTGCTGTAAGTTAACTAACGATATTACCCAAACGCATGATCTTCAATGGGCAACGTACGGTCTTTTACGGATCGACAACGTGAAGGATCTATGCCACGTGTAAAAACGTCGTACGATTTTTGTGCAAGATCGCACATAGTGATCTGCAACGCGTAGGATCAACGTAAGATCTTAGTTGATCGAGCAAACTACGATCTAAGGACAACGTACAATCTAGCATGAGCAAACTACGATCTACGTACAACGTACAATCTAGCATGAGTAACGTACGATCTACGGACAACGTAAGGCCTTCGCTGAAGAGGTCTTATGCAGTTTGTAAACGTCTGCGGACAACGTAAGGTCTTGTACAGAGAAAGACCTCCAACAACGACGAACAACAACGATCTTGCACAGGCACCGCAAGATCTTGACAAACAACATGCGGTAGTTGAGATGATGTGGTTTATTATAAAATGTTCCAATTATGTTCAATCACACAGGTCAGTTCCAGACAATCAACGCGGATACGCCCTGGGTGTCCAGTTCTTGTTCATTCGTGCATTTGGGTCGTTAATTGGACCAATTGGGTTTGGCCGATTGCTTGATACGACYTGTACTTTATGGCAAACCAAGTGCAATAGTCGTGGATATTGTCTTAACTATAACCACATCAAGATGAGTCAATTATTGCTATTTACTGCCTTGCCTATCAACGGTGAGTGTGAAGATGATGCAGCATATTACCCTGATTAGTTGGTGATAATGATATTTGACAGTTTGTTTTCTTCTGATTCAGCCTTGTCATGCCTGGGTTACTACCTTTCATGGTTTTGCAGCAAACGACATGAAAACAGAATTGCAAACAGCGACAAAACAGACACAAAACTTTCTAAACTTAACGCCTACGCAAACAAGATTGATGATAACAAYGCATAGGTCATATGYATAATATGAGATGACATTATCTAWGATGASGGGACCAACATTTGGGTCCGTATAAAATGTCAGTACTTATAAACTCTTTTTAGTTTGTGCTTTACCAAGAAAGAAGCAAAATGTTGAAAATAGTCACCAAAATGAACAAGTATATTTTGAAAATTTTTTTTGTAAATGAAGCACAATAAAACATAGCATATCATTGTGTTATCGTTGATTCAATATCAAGTGAAATCTGTGAAAAGAATAGAATAGAAAATAAAGTAGAAAATAAAATAAAGTAGAAAATAACAAGTAATCATGRTAAAATTGTATTTTTTTCTAATTATTTTGTGCATATTTGACATAACTAAATAGTATCAGTGTATTCCCGTTATTTATAAAATAGACCTGTACAACTTCAGTATATAAACCTACTAGCCTGCTTATTTGGTAGATAGAGAAGGATGAGGCACAGGCATCCCAAAAGGTCTGACACAACAGYCTCCATAAAGAAACAGAAAAGAAAGCAAACAGTTCTTTTTCAACTGAATGAGTCAGCCACTTATCTATGTATTCATATATTATATTTAAATATTATTCAACTGTTGGCTATTGCACATCAAGCAATTTGATTGGATGATCATCAAGTGCATACTGCACAGTACATAAAGCAGCTCTACCGTATATAACATTCATCATGAATTTGTTGATTCTTGTTCTGCTAACTCAGCRTTCTAAGATCAAAGAAGTATGAACACATTAAAACTGGGTCAAGTATCAAAATTTAACTATTAATTTAATTAATAGTGGAATTATAATACCCATGATTTTAAACCTAATTTTTATTTTTATTAAAATAGCTAATTAGTTGTAGCATCAGGTTTTAGTATATTTTTTTCCATAAGAATTYCTATAATACCTAAGATGTAATTACTATTATTTATACAGCTTACAAGTGTTAGCTAACCTTAGATTGTTCAGCAGTGTTATCATCTTGTTGTGCGTTTTGATCAATGCTGTTTATTGATATGTTATGTTCTTTTTGCCAATGTTTTAATAACTCTTCTTGACTCTTCCAAATCTGCATACAGTTAGGGCATATAAAACCCTACAAWAATACATTATGTTACTGGTGTTATTACAACATTAAGAACTGTATTTATTGTGTAAAAGCTTCAGAATTTATGGTTAGTGTTGACTGATCTATTATTTACATAATTTCCTTTTGCCGACATTATATGCTTTTTAATAGCAGCATGAAAGTTGTAAATCTTTATATCARTTATTTTAGGCATTGAATAGTCAACTTTAGATATTTTGGTKYGATGACTATGTACAAAAGAACGCACAYRAGGCTCCGGGAAAAYAATRGATAATCTTGATTTATTCWTYTATTTYCCCRGARCCTCGTCTGCAATTCTTTTGTGCATGGTCACTGAACCAAAATATCTAAACTYGGCTATTTGTATTAATTAGAACACATAATATATCTCCTTTGTTACCTCTACTTCCTGTGGTGTAGTCACTATAACAGGCTCT